AAAAAAAAAAAAAAAAAAAAAGAAGTAAAATGATTAATATCTGCCCTATATAGATTGTAGAAATCGGGTCTAGCCCCTTTAGAAGTGACTGTAGAGGGTTATAGATACGAATTAGGCAGAGACACAATTCTGCTTGCATATTTAGGTGACAGCATGCATTTTATGGTGTCATTGTGAGCTGACTGGAGGCCTGAGAGGGAAAGTCTGCTCTAAAGCTTGGTTGACATCTTATGTGTTTATATTATGCCTGCTAATTCTACACTGTTTGGGAAATACAATTTAAAAAATATTTTCAGCCCCAGAGAAACCACAGTAATAGAACAGAAAGAAAACTGTTTCATTACACAATTAAATCTGGATGTCACATGTATTACAGTCAGTCTGCTTAAGAAAAAGAAAAGAAAGAAAGACGGTGATCATAATTAGTTCACAAGTAGAATTTACAGTACTATGTCATACATAGTTCATTCTAAATTCACCTAGTCCTTGGGGAGGCCATCCATGTATAATAATTGGTTATATCAATGACAAAATAAGCTTTTCACAAGTTCATGACAGAAGGCAGTTTTGCAGCTTGAAGCCAGTTGCCTGCTTTAAGTAGACTTTCACTCTTCTACAAAAGTGGTTGAATAGGGTGCTATCTTTTTGGCTACTTGTATTTTAAAGCAGTGACTCTCTCCTCCTTGAGGACTGGGCTAGAGCACTCCCGCTTCCCCTCTTCTGGTGGCCAGTGTCCTCTTTTTTTTTTCCTACAGCACATCGCTCACAGCTGGCAGCTCGCATCTTAGCTGAATGCCAATTGTCACAGCAGCATTTTAGTGTCACATCAAAGAGTGAAGCCTGGCCAGCTGTGGTGGCTCAACCTGTAATCCCAGCACTTTGGGAGGCTGAGGCAGGCAGATCACAAGGTCAGGAGTTTGAGACCAGCCTGGCCAACATGGTGAAACCCCCATCTCCACAAAAAATTAAAAAAAAAAAAATTACCTGAGCACAGTGGTGGGTGCCTTTAATTTCAGCTACTCAGGAGGCTGATGCAGAATCACTTGAACCCAGGAGGTGGAGGTTGCAGTGAGCCAAGATTGCACCACTGCGCTCCAGCCTGGGTGACAGAGTGAGAGACTCTGTCTCAACCAAAAAATAAAAATAAAAATAAAAGGGGGATCGATCCAAGGTGGCCGTTTAGGAACAGCTCAGGATTGCAGCTCCCAGTGAAAGCGCAGAGGGTGAGTGGACGCCGCATTTTTATTGCCCACAGACTAGGAAATTCCCAGGTGGAGGAGCTCCATGGGTCGCCAGCGCGGCTGTTTCGGCCAGCGCGGCTGTGCCGGCCGGAGCCGCTGCTTTGCCCCCTGCGGCTGCTTTGCCGGTGCCCCAGAGCAGCGGTTCTCCCTACAAAATACACTGGTCCGGGTGCCCCTTTGGCTAGCAATTGGAGCCACGGGAAGTCGCCCATACATCGGTTTAAAAAGGGGACTGGGCAGGGAACCAGGACAGTAGGTTCCAGGGCAAAAAAAAATACCACAAATCTCAGTGCCGCTGTTTAAGCCAGCGCAGTGACTTGCCGCCGGGGAAAACGCTCAGACCCGGTGCCTCTTCAACAGGCGACTGGAACACCAACTTAAAAAAAGGCTCTGAGGCAGGGAGCCAGCGATCAGGCTCGGCTGGTCCCGCCCTCACAAAAGAACCGCAATCAGAAACTCTCTGGATTGAGTTTCACAGCAAGTGTAGCTGAACCCAGGACGGTCCAGCGCTGGTGGGGGAGGGGCGTCCGCCATTACCAAGGCAGCCCACCACTACGTAGGTAGTCAGCCAATGCTGAGGCAGCCCGCCGTTGCCAAGGCAACCCGCCACTGCTGAGGCAGCCCGCCGTTGCCGAGGCAACCCGCCACTGCAGAGAGACTCCGCTGCAACAGAGGCAGGCCACTATTGCCAAGGCAGTTCTAAGTACACCCATATAAACAGGACTGCAGGGAAGTTCACTTGGCAGCTGGGCGGAGCCCACAGCAGCTCAGCAAAGCCTCTACAGGCAGACAGTGACTAGGCTGCCTCCTTGCTGGGCAGGGCAGCTCTGAAGGAAAAAAAAAAAGAAGGCAGCAGCATAAGGGAAACTCATAAAGCCCTAAATCCCTGGGACAGAGCACCTGGGAACAAAAAGC